ACACACACACACACACACACACACACACACACACACACACACACACACACAGATCTGTGGGCTAGATTCAGTGTCATTGTGGCGGAATCACCAGAAACTGCAAAAAGAAGCCAGAATTTCCACATCTATGCCAAATATATGCGCATGTTGTGTCCCTGGGAAGCATTTTTGGTGGTATTTTGTTAGCAGTAAATCACAGGCGACTCCAGACACCTCCTTGAAGAGTGATGTTGGGGTCTGAAGGGGCTCAGGAGGAGCCCAGACTACCTCAGTGGGGCCCGACTGTAATTCCACCTATTTTCATAGTCGCTCTGATGGTGTTTATTTTCAAAACATTCCTATTTTTACGGCCAGTCACCGCAGTTGCAGGATCTTTTAAAGTCTACCCCCACGACTTTAGTGCGTTTTAGCCTTGGGTATCCTGAATCTGTCAGGTCTGAGTAAACGGTTGTTGAACTGCAGGTTATATTCTGTGTTTTAAGAAGCAAATAACAGGGAATCTAAGTCTTGGCCGGCTGGATTGACGTCTGAAACAGTACGTCTATTGTGGAACGGCTTACAGAGGAATCCATATCACTTTACTGTCCAGGTCTTGTCACGTTGCCAACTCAAATTTAGGTAGATTTCTGTACAATTGTACAGACCACCACAAACTGTAATGATTACTTAAAGGAAAAGGACACAGTTTCTATTTCTATTGGTGTTTTTTTTGCATATAAACAGCTGACAGTATTTCACATCTAGACACCGAAATGTAGTAACCGAGCCATTCAACACATCTTTCTTCCAGAATCGTACGTCTGTTTCAATCAGCTTCCCCGCGAGTTGCAACAGGAGAAAATGAGGAGAAAAGCTAGGAGCAGGAATATTTCTGTTGAATCAGGAAGGGATGCACCTTCTGGGGGAACAGAACATGCCCTCTTCCAGAAAACAACCAGCCAAACAGGCAGAAATCTTCCCGACCTTCTGGAGAACAGCTAGAAAAGAGCAGGTGATTTATTTGAGAACGTCTGTCAGTGATAATGATGTCATGCTTTCCAGCACATTGCGTCCAGCTTCGCTGTGGGATTGAGGAATGTCAAGGACAACGCCAGGCGCAAGATTGTACCCTGGAATCAGAGAGAGATCCCTGATAAACTTTACTTTACTGTCTTTATCGTCTTCTTTCACCAGAAGCTCAAAGAATACGTCCCATGAAGGTTTCACCTGAACGCAGACCCCCAGAGACCCAACAAACGTCTCTGTCCTCTACACTCTGTCTCATTCGGAGACCTGTATAACAACTCCTGATAGGGGAGTGACAGCAGAATCGTGAAGCAAGGAGGGAGGGTGCCGACTTATCTCAGGCCCGAGCTATGTGCTGAGGTATCACTGTAGACACTAAGGCACCGTGGAGGAAGAAAAAAAAGAAAAAAGTCCGGCTGGGAAACACAGCAGCCGCAAGATTGGGAAAGAGACTCCCAAACGCTCTAATGAACTTGACTTGCTCTCCGAAATATGTCAGCCAGTTTATCACACAAGAAGCAGATTATCTGGAAATTGCAACATAGTTGAATTACAGACATTATGGCACCGCAGGTCTTTATCAAATAAACAATTACCGTATGCAATGACAGCTTGTTTATCCTTTATCTTGATTTATTTACCAAACCGTCTCCTCTTTCTTCCACCCCTTAAGCAGCCAACACGAAGCGTTATTTAGAAGAAGTTTTTTTCTTTCTTCCGTCCCTAATAAATGCGCAACTCCACCCCCTCCCACACCCTCCGTATTAAAATTTAAGACTGCTGAATGTTCCCCCGTTCTTTCGGCGCCGTGCACAGCCAGTTCATTAGCAGAAATGAATAGCGAGGCCCGGCTCATTTAGATGGGCTGTCTTACATGACTTCTCGCCATACTCTGTTCCTGTCACATGCTTCCAAGAATCATTGACTCTTATTATACATGTAAATGGCTATCATAAAAATAAAAATTTCATTTAAGATTGTTAATGACCTTTTTTTGCAGCAGTCTGCCTTCCTTTAATGATTATACCCTGCCCCCTAATTAAAAGTATTTATCTTTCAAGCATCCGTGACTGGCACCCCCTGAAATGGGAGCTGCTCAACAAAAGACCATCACTCAGTCAGGTTTGGGGAGGTATCACCTGCCAACCTTTAATGTCTTGCATCTCCTGCACAATCTGCAGCTTTGCCTCCTTCCTGCATTGTTTTTTCCTACATTACTGTAAATATTTTCCGCTGTTTGGCTCAGAGCGGGTCTTTTCTCTAAGCGCTAACCAAATGGTCCACTGCCGCTCGTGGAGAAACTGTTTATCACGTCTGTCTGCCGAGATGGAGGGGGGGCATCGTCGTCAGACCCGGCTTTGATCGCTGTTTGCAAAACGCTCCGTGCCGTTTGCTTGAGTCTACACCAGCACCAGATGGGTGGGGTTTATGGCATAAGATAAGTTCCACAAGTGGCAGGATGTGCACACAAAGCGCCCGGGATTCAGCTTAAGGGGTAGTTTTTGGGGATTGGAAGCTCACCTGAACCTCAAACATCTGGTGAGACTAAGAAAAGCAAAAGAAAGAATTAGTTTAGTGGAATATCGTAGACGCTCCACCTGTCTCGTCAGGGACTGTGCACCGCACTGCGGACTCTATAGAAGCTCACCGTCCTTTACGATTGATTTTTATTGATTATGTAAAGTCAACTTGAATCAAATCCTTCCTCCAGCCCAAGAAGGGATTCAAGGTAACTCAGGATGAAACTTCCCAGCCCTTCTGCACCTCTTTCCTTCATCAAATCCACCTTTTTTACCATCTGCCATCAACCAGGCTCTTAAAATTGGTTTTCACACAAACAAATGTGGTTTAGATGAAACCATGTGCAAAATGCGTTGCAGACTTCAGGGTTGAGGCTTTGGACACTCACCAGTACCGTCGACCGAGGCACTCAGGATGTCGTTGTCAGGCCAGATGTGCTCCACGCCGCTGTCCCGCATCTCGTCGTCCTCTTCGTCCTTGGTCAGCAGGCCGTGGCTCTCGGCGCGCGGCGACGCCTCGGGGTTGGTGAGGCTCGCCGGGCTGCCCGTGCCGTTGATCAGGGGGTCCTCCTCGGACACGGGCAGCTTGTCCTCCTCCTCTGTCTCTGAGCCCGTCTCCACCACATTCTCATAGTTAAGAGCTGCAAACAAGAAAGAGAGAGTGGACAGAGAAAAGCCGGTCAGTACTGGGAACTTATTTGGACTTCGGCTGGGGGGTTTACAACCCAATTACAGCATCTGCGACTGGAATTTGTAGCTGAACCGCAGCGGTGGGCAGACAGCTGTCCAGGAGATGCGGGCCAAAATAGCCGCTAATTTTCAGTCCTGCTCACATGCCTCAGATGCCGCTGAGCTGCACCTTTCAGAACGGCTCGGCTCTGAAACATGCCACCCGGGCTTTAGATGCTCCACATAGCAGATACGGTACCGCAACAGGCTTAACTTATAGTCATTTTGATTATTTCATATGATACTGTAAATCTAAATGCTTTTTGATCATAAAGGCAGCACACACACACACACACACAGCTGCTTCCTCAGCACACAGGTCCCTGACATATGCCTGGCTTTCTTAAAATAGACAGCCTGTAAATAAGGGCTGTGAACTCAATCAAAGGTGGCTCTCGCGCAAATTTGTCACCGCCAACGGCTGTTCTTCAGCGCATACACGCCTCGGCGTAAACCACTGCAGAAAACGGACGTCGGTGGGCTTATTGGGGCGGCGCAGATGCAGCACGAGGCGAGCCAGGAGCGCATGGCATCGCGTGGAGACACACCTCATTGGCAGAGCTTCAAACTTCTGCTGCAATCAATACGTTCAGATAGAGTTAATACTACAGAATAACGAGGCAGGACAGTGAACTTTGTAGCCCTTTTAGGACAACAAGCCTAATTAAAGTGTCTTTATGCAAAAGTAGGAGCTCTTGGACCGTTTCGAAACAAGAGTGCCAACCAAACGATGTCCACGCATGACATTTCTGAAAACATCATGCATATGAAAAGATAAGCCTCCCTGCCGCTCCTCCTAACACGTCTCCCTGCGACTGACCGGTCTGCACTTGCCTCCAGCGAACAACTGCACAACAGGTGCAAATTAAAATGAAAACGGGGCTTTCAGACGGGGGAGCGAGGAGGGAGGAGGAGGAGCAGGAGGGTGGGAGAGCGGTGACCTGCCTCGAATACCAATCGGCGGAGGAAACAAAACCTTTTCAAGAGGTGTGATCACAAGGGTTTAGGCAAGTTCAGACTCAGTAATGCTCCTTGCGGATGACAAAAAAGGCAACCCAGGCTGGAGATGCTGGGAGTTCCTGGGTGGTCCACATCCACCAAACAGCTCTGTACCTGTTTGGATGTTTCATCAAAAGTTTTCTCCTGTTATTTTAAAGTTTTGCATCCTTGCACATTTCCAAACCGTTCTCAGCCATGTCTGTCCCGTCAGCTCTGTGTCCCTCCCTCCCAGCTTCCAGAGGAAAGAGGGGGGTTGCTGCTAGAACAAAAGGCGGAGAGGCTTGGGAAGCTATCAACCCATCCCTGTGAACCTGATCCCTGGATGCAGATTCAATGACGGCGGAGCAGGGGCCGGCTGAATGAAATTATCTAAGGCTGGACAGGTTTTAAAGGGCCCATTCTTCCCCAATAAAAGGAGTGAGGGAGCTTCTTTTTGTTTCCGCACACATCCAGGCACAGCAAAGCGCACCGTTCCTGACTTCCCACATAGGGAATGAGGGGAACGCTGCCCTTGCCGATCCAGCTAACTTCTCGGGACTTTCGGTTATTTTTGTCCCAAGTTTGGAGCGTTTTTTGCTGCTTCCGAGCAAAACGGGGGAGGCGCTGAACTGTCTGAACGCAAAATCATCTCCGAACGTCAGCTGTCAACGCGCACCTCCAAGAAGGCAAAATGACAGCGGGGCGCTCGTCAAGTCAAACGCGCAGTCTTAACACGGAGAAAGCTGCCCATTGTTGAGGTGCCACCGCTGACAGGAGCCGCTCCCTCTGCGAGCGCCAAGCATCTATTGGTATTGTGTCACGCAACAAAGTAATTCTAACCTACTAATATTTCGCAGGCAGCTTTTTCATCTCCCCCGAACATCGGTCTTAATCAGCCTTTTGTGTCTTTTGGGAGAGAAGAAGACAAAAAGGAGATAATGTTTACTCCTCAAAATGCCTCTTCTGTCCTTTTCTTACCTTAAGTGTCATCCTTGACAAAAGCAAATTATGGATGACGCTCGTTTTTTTCTTCTGCTACCTGTTTCTTCCCTTCGAGTTGAGCTTTGCAGATAATTAAAATGACACATGCTTTTAGAGTATCTGACATAACGTGGTATTATTCTGTCATTTAGTGGAGAAAAGGAGCAGAGCCAGGGCTGATATTGTGTATCGATTAGGGTGGTTGGAAGGGAATCTGACTGGAGCGACTTGGTAGAAGGCACAGACAGTTCAGATATGACAAAGACGCAGGGGGAATTAAAGTAACAAACCTCAGGTCTAAAATAATTGTGTTTATGAAGGGCTTGACAGCAAAAAAACATGCTGTCAATGGTGGAGTTATAATCAACTGTGGCTAAATGGTTGGAAGCATTCAGAGAAAAAGTAATTCAAAGGAATAATCAGTGACCAATTCTGGCACTTCTCGCGTTTCCAGCTGAAGGTTTGGCATCAAGGTTTCTACAACTGTCAATCCAGGACTGGACACCCAACAATCCACCATTAGCAGGAATAACTCCAACTGACGCAAAGACCTCTTCAGGTCCCCCAACAGCATTTCAATCACTCTGAGGTCTGGACTTTGATTGGGCCATTGCAACACCTTGATGCTGCACGATGGACTCAGATTTGCCTCACCAATACTTTGGCCAGAGGTATTCATGGTCAACTGAATCACTACAAAACAAACCCAAATCATGAGCCCTCCACCACCGTGCAACATAGTAGGGATGAGGTTTCCTCAAGAACAGCCTTCCACATCTTTCTCTGATTGTTCTGTAATATTTAACCTGCTAATTTAGGCCAGTGGAGTCCAGGATGGTGGTTTTTGAGCATCATGCATTTTGATATCAGGGTGTTTTAGCTGCAATGTCCAATCAAGTTGTTTAAAACTGGCTTTGAAACGTCCTTAATATCTGATCCAGAAAGCGTTTTTCACATTTACATTAAACTGTAGAGCAGCACAAACTCTTGGTATCCATACGTTTGCCCACTTGATGATGATTAGTCACTACAAGGCTTTTGATTTGCTGCTGCTTTACTCCTAAATCTTTCGGCAGCAGGAGGAATGGGCGTTTTGCACCAGTCAAGACTTGAAATAAAACAGATTTCAGCCTAACAAACCTCAGCTCAGCTGTGTTTTACCTGCAGGTGCTGGGGAAAATCATTTCAGCAAACTAACAGGTATAATCACATTTATTTAACAATCCCCAAGTAGCTAAACCAGAGCCCACAGGAGGCTGTGTTAAAAGGCCTTCCTGCTTGAGTGTCAGAGCCAGAGAGAAGCAGCTCTGTGGAGGTGATCGCTGCAGGGAGAATGACTAACACCCACGTTGGCGCTCTCGCGCTCACCCCGGCTGACTTTTTTCCCTCTTTTTTAAAGTCAAGTGTCGAGGCTTAGCTCCAGGTGACACGCTCGGCCTCCTACGCCGATAATGAGCCGGGACATTCTCCCTATTGGACGATAACTGCTCGCGCTCGCTCCCTGTCTCATGAATGTGAGCCAAGCGGATCACCTGGATGGCTGCGAGGGAGAGACGGGGATGCGGAGCCGAGTGTGTGTGTGTGTGTGTGGGAGGGCATTAAGGTGGAAGCGGGGTCGCTGCCTCGTGGCTACGGCCGGCGGTAGCGGATTCTCACGATGACCTTTTGTCTGCCATTGTTCGCGTCTGCAACAGTTTAGGCACTTCCTCGGGTAACTCTGATAGAAACCTCACACCGACCGAGGGCAGCAGCTTTCCTCCACATTTTTACACTTTCAGACAACCTTCATCCTGGTTTTTTTTTTTTTCTAAGCTGGCCAAACCGGTAAGAATAATGGAAAAAAAAAAAAAGAAAAAAAAAAAAAAAAGCTGCCCGGTGACGAGAGCCGAGTCCAGACAAAAGAAAAGCAGACATGTTTGGATATTTTGTGCTATCTTGTCTCAGTATAATGGCGTGATCGAGCACAAGGGGCAAATCGGGGCCAAGTCGGTGAAAGGACGGTGGCAGAGGGCAAACAAAAGCTCTGAAAAGAGACAGCGAGAGTGAGGGGAGGCGGCGGGGAGGGGGCGACATGAGGGAGACGATGAATGGTGAAAACTCAGTGAAGTGTAAACGCAACCTGGGTGAGTGTGTGTGTGTGAGAGTGTGTGTGTGTGTGTGTGAGTGTGTGTCTGCAGAGACGGGGGAGTGAAGTGAGTAAGTGTTTGTTTGACAGATAGAAGTTTCTTACAATTTGGGTGTTTAACAGATGTGTTTAACCTTTATTACACCCAGAACAAGCAAACGATTTCACTTTCCTTCAGGAAAAACAAAGTTTTCATTCACCAAAACGTTCATTTAGAGAATAAAGGATTTTAAAGCTTGTTGGAAGGAGAAAAACACAAAAAAAAAAGTTGAATTTTGTTCTGGAAATCTTGGAGGAAAATAATGAAAACATATTTTTAATTCAGAAATATAAATGTTCAGAGAAACCCAAGCTTTTTTTTTTACTTTCATAACTTTCTAAAGAATATTTTTCTTATTTTTGAAGTGTCTTCTGTCCATTTTCATTTACTTTTAATATTTATTAATTTTTTTTACTCATATAGTTTTTCTTTTTTACTACAACTTAATATTTCTAATATTTTTCCTGTAATATTTTATTTAATTTTCCATTTTTCCATTAATTTACAGACTCATATTTTATTTGTTCTTATATATTTTCATATTGTAGTTTTTTTTATTTTGTAATATTTTTCATGTTTAACGTCTTTATCTTTTCATATATTTTTTTTTACATTATTTGGTTTCAGTAGAGAGAAACTTCATTTTTTAAAGTCTCTTAATTTTATTTTATTTTTCTCCCAGGTTATAATACATTACATTTAAATCCTTATGGTTGCAAACTTACATAAACGCTTCGGTTTTGGGTCATTTAAAAAGAAAAACTGTGTCTCAGCAGGAGTTTTTTTGTAAA